TTTTTTTTTTTTTAATTATTGTTGCAGTTATCCGTGTTGTTTTTTAGCTGGCCCAGGCCGGGTTAGAACTCGCCAGCCGGTGTATGTGGCTGGTGCCCTACCCACTGAGCTATGGGCGCTACCCATTATTGCAATTCACAGCATTAACAAATTAAAGGAGAAATTCAGGCTGGGCAGAGTGACACAAGCCTGTAATCCTACCACTTTGGGAGACTGAGGCAGGAGGATAGCTTGAGCTCAAGAGTTCAATACCTGCCTAAGCAAGAGTGAGACCCCATCTCTACTAAAAATAGGAAAATTAGGCAGGCACCTATAAGCCTTTTATCCCACCTACTTGGGAGGCTGAGGCAGGAGGATGGCTTGAATCCAGGAGTTTGAGATCGCTAGGAGCTAGGCTGAGGCCATAGAAACTCTAGCCTGGGGCAACAGAGTAAGACTGCATTAAAGCAAAAACAAAATACAGAAGAAAACTGCTATGATTACATAAAAACTATCATTATTATGTCAATAGATGTAGAAAAAAAAATTTTTTTTTTTTTTTTGGAGTTTTTGGCCTGGGCTGGGTTTGAACCTGCCACCCTTGGTATATGGGCCAGCACCCTACTCCTTTGAGCCACAGGCACTGCCCAGATGTAGGAAAAATTAAATTCCCATTCTTTATCTAAAATATGCCAAACGGGGTGGCCTCTGTGGCTCAGTGGGTAGTGTGCCGGCCCCATATACCAAGGGTGGTGGGTCCGAACCTGGCCCCAGCCAAACTGCAACAAAAAAATAGCCGGGCGTTGTGGTGGGCACCTGTAGTCCCAGCTACTCGGGAGACTGAGGCAAGAGAATCGCCTAAGCCCAGGAGTTGGAGGTTGCTGTGAGCTGTGATGCCACAGCACTCTACCAAGGGTGACAAACTGAGACTCTATCTCAAATAAATAAATAAATAAAGCCAGACAAACCAATATACATCTTTGCAAAATGCTTACACAACATAATAATGGGTATGTACTAAAAGCCTACTGCAAACGTTCTTAATGACGAAATGTGAAATGCTCCCCTTTAAGTCAGGTACAGGGGCAGGATCCATTTACCACCACGCTCTGTCCAACACTGCACAATGTAAAGGGCTTGCCTAACATCAAAAATTAGTCACCGGGTAAGTCACGAGGACCCGGACCAACCCTGCACTATGGTTTTATGCCAGAAACAATCCTGTTACCTTGGACATGAGGCTCTTGAAAGTGTCATTATTTGAATTCATGTTTGGGGTGGATTAGTTGATATTCTGCAGTGAGATGCTCTGAGTCTGTTTAGGAGGTCTGGGTCTTACTTTTTGTACAGTAGGATAAAAGGGCAGGAAGATCAGTATGTTACAAATTTACTGCCTGTCAATGTCTCTGTATGCACAAAATCACAGACTTCGGACATCCTGGCCCCTGTCTTTACCTCAAATTCTTACCTAAAAATACTAGCTGGGACCTTTTCCATCCCACTGTCTCCCACTATCAGCATTTTTTTTTTTTTTTTTTT